TTTTTTTCTATGCGTTTTCTCGTACTTTTGAGCGTGAGTGGTTTCCTCCAATTTTCTAAAAATTTCAATTTCAATTCAAAATTTGGAAGACATTCGTTTTCTATAAATTTGTTCATATTTGTTCATATTTTCGTAGCACTAGTTGTATTTACGTTTTTACGTTCGTAACAATAATTTTTGCTCGCGACTCACGTCAGCGATATCGCTTTATGCATTAGTGCGATTCCACGCTAAATACCCTCTCTTCCGGTTGACGTATTGACCAATCAGAGCGCGTGTTTACTTTAAGCTATGCGATTCTTGAGAAAATCGATTTCGCGTTCTCCATGGCCAAAAATAGCTGTATAAATCAGCCAAAACCAGCATTTGCAAGAACGTCCTTGCCTCTTTGGTGGAAGACATAACATCGAAAAGTAATGATCCATGTCAAAAGTAGAAGTATTACGCACTTTATTGATGCCTGATTTTTGGTTGTAGGCTATACATCTCCCAACGAAAAACACAATCTTTAATGACGATTTGATAATAGCTTGAGTAAACGTAGTTTTACCGTTTAATTACAAACCGAAATTTCGATATGTGGTCATTCCCCAATCGGGTTCATCTTATGGCTGTTGAGTGCCCAAGTGCTCTTCTTCCAAAAAATATAATGATTGGTTTGGGTTTTTTCGCGAGCGCTTTGTAAAACGCCATCAAAATCAGAATATTGTGAGAATTTACACTAATTAGCATACTGCCGTTGTGTTTGGTCGACTAAAGGCCCTAGCAAACGGCTTCAACATTTGCTTCAACATCCTTTCGATTTTGTTGAATGGCAATGTTGAAAGCGTTTGCCACCCCCTTTCCACCGTGTTGAACGTGTTGAAACGATGTAGTTTTTGGTTGTTTTACGGATTATAGTCTTTGAACGGTCGTAATTCGACCTGGTAGAAATTTTACAGAATAGTTTGGTGTAGGTCTTAGTTTTCTAAATTACGAAAACCAAGACCCCTAAATTTACCGTTAAATTTGACCGAAAACTCGGTGGAAAGGATCGGACAGATAATTTGACAGATTAGACCTGTTTTGGTTACAATTTGACTTTATATTTCGACGGATTTGATTTAGGGGTCTTAGTTTTCGTAATCTCGAAAACTAAGACCGGTCTTATCTCTTAGGTCTTAGTTTTCGAGGGTCTTAGTTTTCGTAACACCCTAGTCTAGTTACTGTCCAACTACTGATTTTGTTTTCGGAGATAACGGAAAAGCTCAGTTTCAAAAATATTCGGTCAAGGGTCAAGACTTGTGACTGTAATCACAGGCGGCCCAGGCTCTGTTACAGGCTCTTTCACAGTGGATTATTATAGAGTTTGTGTAGTGGTTTAGTTGGACTTGCTTTTGAGCTCCGTAAATATAAACTTGTGTGAAATAATAAAAAAAATAAAGTCTTACCTTCATACAGTAGTCTGTGCTGTTCTTGTCGCGATTTGAGGCTGTTTTGCTGTGTTTCAGCTCAACGTCCTAGCACTACCAAGTAAAAGGGATGGTAGGAAACCTGTCTCACACACGCTCGCCAAAATCGCCCGAAAAACACACTTAAATGCTTCCCCTTGAATCGAAACTCGGCAGCACGAAAGCCAAATAGTTGCCCTTCAAGTTCATCAAAACAGATCCCACAAAAGTTGGGTTGTCGAGCAACCAGCCTAGCGAAAATCTCAAATTGACCGCCATTTCAACGCCGTTGGAATGCGCGTCCATCAAAACCTGTGCAGTCAAAAGTTCGAAAACGCGGTCAGCCTGGACACTAGCAAAATTAGGCCCAACTGGTAGCCCCACGATATGAATGATTAGTCAGAAATAAATACCAACCCACAAGTGGAGGGAATATTTTGCTAAATGGCTGTTTT